GTGCTGTAAAACCATAGGAGGTAGAATAAAGGCAAGGTTTTATAACTTCTTGTGGCATTTTTAGCCGTTGTATTCATAGACCAGATAGATATGGTCCAAGCTGAAGTTTGTTTCTAATTGAATACCCCAATCAATCGGTGCAAAAGATTGAAAGGAGAAAATATTTCGGGCCTGCCAACCCTATTTTTGGGTGGCATGCAATCGGAAGCAGAACTTTATTGGGGCGAAGGAGGGCTAAGTGGGTTTGTCATGAGCCTGAGTTAAAGAAACCACCCAAATGTGGCACCATGTGTCACCTACTATTCTGTCAAAGCTTAAGAGTAAATCTTTCACCAGTGTTTCATTCTTGCAGCTTTTCATTGCATTTGTACGTGTGCTAATGACATTGAATTGGAGTGTTTGAAGTTCCCATTTGTTCTGTGTGAGAAATGCTATTTTCTCAACTCTTCGAGCCCTAATCACGGTCTTTACCTCATGATTTGGTTCCAGTTCCGGCACGGATTCTTGTTGAGGAGCAGAACTTCAATGTGTCCTTTGGCACTGTGGTCAATCTAACATGTCCAGTCATGGGAAACCCTAAGCCTACCATTATTTGGCGTCTCCACAGGGATACTGTGAGTATTCTAGTCAATGCATCCAGCACTGCCCAGGTTTAGCCTCAGTGTTTCTCTTGTACTTATGAAAATGTAACAGGAGGGTGGAGTACCGTTAGATAACTAGTGTTGTAGGCTGAGTGCTCGGCACTGTCAAATGTAAGTCCCCCGTTTGGATTTTCAGAAAATCCTGCATGCGGTATTTTCTGATTTTTTTTCTCTTTTTCCCAGCAGATTAGAAATGACAAAACAAATCCTGTAACACCCTGGGACAAAGAGTACCTGACCATCAATGCAACCAGATCAGATAACTACACTTGTGTAGTGAAAAACACGGTTGTGTCTCAGGATGGCGAGGAGAGGAAGTATATAGCCTCACTTCAGAATAACGTCAAAGTCTACGGTATCCCAAAGTAAGCAGTTACTCGGCTTTGGAACGCTGTGTGGACCACGGGGCTGTTTGTGAACAGTGGGCAAACTAGCCTCCTTTGTGGGAATGGGTACTTGTGTTCTGATTACAGATTGTATTACATGGTTTGGCGAGCTAACTGTGTTGATTCTGAGTTTTAAGGAATTTTAAGTAACAGTAGCATCGAAAAGGGCTCTGCGAATTGATGAAATTCACATTTTGTGTCGTTGCAGTTACTGTTCGAGATATGGAGGTAACATCTGCAGGAAGTACTTGTCAGGTCGCAGCGTGTTTGTGGATGCCGACCTGTACAACCCACTGAGTCGGATGGAGCCACTCTTGAAGAGACTGACAGATCAGGTGGACAGCGTCGTCGAGAACAGCATCTGTAAGGATGCATTCAAGTCGTTGATCTGCCACAGCATGCTGCCTGACTGTGAAAAGTCCCGTCCACAGCCCAAACCGCTATGCAGGTAAATTGTGATTGGGCTGTTTGTACTCTGTAGATTTGGCATGGGAACATGCCTTTTCAGACCATGATTGTGGGCTTAAAGAGATTTTGGCTAGTGGTGATGAAGGCATTGGGCCAGATATTGCTCAGGGTAACCATCAGGGGCTACTCACTTTGGTCAGTGGCCTTGCACAGTGCTTCAGGCTCTGATGATTAAACAAAACTTGCAAGCCAGAAAAGCTGGAGATTTGAATGCAAATAGTTTCAAGAACATTAAGTCATCAAAATGAAATGGCAATGACATGCTCGGTGTTTAGGGGTAGACACTTCATTTAGGTAGATTTGCACATCCTTTCTGATTACAATTGTAACTTCCAAGAAATGCCGAAGGCAAGATTAACAATTGTACATTGCCATTGTTACTTCTTGCGGTGGTCAGTTGGCTGGGACTCTGAAGCTGTTTGTGTTTTGGGGGGTTGATTTAGGTCGTCTTATGCTGTGTTTTGCCTGGTTTCAAATCAAGCTGTTGTGATGGTTAGTAAAGATAAAGACTTCATACCCTCTGTTGTGTAGGGAGGACTGTCTCGCAGTACGCAAGGATATCTGCTTGAGTGACTGGATGGCACTAGACTGGCATAACGATGGCAAGCTTCGGCACAGACTAGGGCCTCTGCTTGAATCGTCACAGTGTGAGGATGTGCCAAGCAAAGATGCTGGCCCAGGCACCTGCAGTGATCCAAACCTGTTTGGTGAGTCAAACTAGGTGTTGATAACCAGTGGGTATGCCTTGGTTATGTTTCTATTGTGCATCGGGCACAGTGAGCCGTTCTAATGTTAGAGTGACTGAGTCCATGTTTTAGGCACCATTAATATGTGTTGTTAACGCGTCAGTGAGAAATGAACTTTTTAATAAAAAAAATTTTCTTATTTTGAAAAATTGAAATTTTTTTGTTTTTTCTGTTATTTACAGAAATCCGAGAGGACATGAAGACACGTAAGCACTTTTCCTTTCCCTTAAAATTATAGTGCATTGCTGTATTATTGGAACATTCAATGTATTTGTTCAGTCCTTAATTTCAAACTTCCTACTTTAAAAAATCTGTTGTCCCTGTTGAAAATTTAAAGTGATATATCTTTGTCATTGTGATTAGGGGATTGCGTTGACTACAGTAACAATGGTATTTACTACCAGGGCAGTGTCAATGTTACCGAGATGGGGTTACCATGCCAACCATGGACTTCCAGTGTAAGTTTACCTCTTTGAGGTTTATCAGTTAAAGATAAACACAAGAAATACTGATTAAATAGTAAACGATTCCATCCACCCATAGTTGAAATACTAAATATTAAATATATATTAAACATTTAAATATCTGTTAAATATGTTCAATTTTTTTGAGAGAGAGCAGTTGTGTTGGGAGTTTCAGCGTACATGATGCCTGTAAGCTGTTTAAAGTCTCAATTTTATATTGTCATATTTTTAGACACTATTTGAGTATTTAGGGTTACCAGGGGGTACCTGGGTTATGATAAGTGTAGATAATTCAGCTTTCCTTCATGAACCATTTTGATGGTCTGTTTTTAGTACCCACAGAGCAGACGTATGTTTGTGTCGGTGTACCCTCAGCTGGTGAACAGCAGTAACTACTGCAGGAATCCAGGTGGTCTGTACAGGGAACCGGGCTGCTTTCCTGTGGGCAGAAACTCAGAGTGGCAACGGTGCAGAATACCCAGCTGTGGTGAGTAAAAATAAATGGGGAAAACTCCAAGCTTGGCTGCAGACATGAGCTGTACTGTACACAATTAGAAGAAGGAGTTTATCTCTGTGTGTGGGTTGTGGTTGGGCTCAGTGCTTTTAAATCTGCCTGCTGGCAACATTGACTTGAAATGTAAAATAGGCCTGATCTCTTGAATACCTTTGAGAATGATTCCACTAAGATCGAAAAGTGAGGGCTTCCAGTTAAGGTGTTTTCAGTTGATACATGTATGTCAGGGTCTTAGAATTTTCCTGCTGGCAATTTATAAATGTATAAATGTACTGTAGGCTCAATAAATGTGGTACATTTGAGTGACTAACTCTCTATTAACCGGCAGTTTCAACTTTGTTTTTTCTCACCTTCCCAGACGCAGAGGTGACAGTAAGTACTATGCTACCACCAGTGCCATCTTTAACCACCCGTCAGGAGGAGAAGGTCTTAGTCACTGACACACCCTATGTACATCCTGTACCAAAGGAGCCCAACAGTAAGAGGGACATCTATCTGATATGTGGCGGTGCCGCTGTGGGTGTGTGCTTCATCTGCATTGTGGTCATCGCTGTCGTGTGTTGTCGTTCCAAGCTCAACCGCTACTCCCGCTACAAATATCCAGGCGATTTGGACATCAGCAAGTTGCCCGAGAACCCCATGTATGGGAAAGACTTCAACAAGAGCTTCAACCCTCACTTGAGGCACTTGGAGTACCCTCGCAACAGCATTATTTATATTGTAGATATTGGTGAGGGGGCGTTTGGACGCGTTTTTAAGGCGATTGCCCCAAAGTTGCACCCGGGGGAAGTTTCTACCACTGTCGCGGTGAAAATGCTGAAAGCGAACGCAGATAGAGACGTTCAGGAGTACTTCAACCGCGAGGCAGAAATCATTGCCAGATTTGATAACCCTAATGTGATCAAGCTATTAGGGGTGTGCTTTGTTGGGAAGCCACTATGCCTGCTGCTGGAATACATGGGACAAGGGGACCTCCAGGAATTCCTGCATTACCATGACCCTAACAAATCTCCACAGGGCAGGCCGGGGAGTGTTTCACGGTTAACCAGTCGCACCCAACTCAACTTAGCGTACCAGGTTGCCTGTGGCATGGTCTACCTGACTGAGAAGCGCTTTGTGCACAGGGACATTGCCACCAGAAACTGCCTGGTAGGGAACAACAATGAGGTCAAGATCTCGGACTTTGGTCTGGCCCGCTACTTGGGCTCCAGTGACCACTACCTGGGCCATAAGGACGAGACCATACCCATTCGCTGGACTGCACCCGAGGCCCTTTGGCATTACAAGTTTACCACGTACTCGGATGTCTGGTCCTTTGGCGTGCTGCTGTGGGAGATCTTCAGCTTTGCCCGGCAGCCCTATGAGAACATGACCCATGAGGAGGTGTTCCTGCAGACCTACAAAGGGCACGTGTTAGAGCCCCCTAAGAACACTCCACACTGCATTTATGAGGTGATCCAGATGTGCTGTAGTCAAGACCTGAATGCCAGGCCATCTTTCCACACTCTGCGTGACACGCTAAACTCCATGCAGGATAGTGAGTCTGGTTGCTGATATTCTGGTGCAAGGCCAGACAGATTCTGTCAAACGTTAAGCATCCCTTCCCCCATTACGTTGTTTACTTGACTTGTGACTGAAAAAAAGTCTGAATCTATTTCAGTGAGCCTTGAAATTGATCAGCGTTGGCTTGATCTGCAAAAAGGATTCATTTGTTTGTCGCCAAGTCATGAGAAAATGTATTCTGAATAGTGTGTGTATTCCACCTCCGAGCAAATTCACCAAATTGAAACGGTGCCCCAGCATGACAAAATCTGCCAAAAGTATTACTTCACCATTACATCGATAGGAAATATATATAGAACCCTCAAAACTATGTTTAGAAGTAGGCACATGTCATTGTGTTATCATTTTAAAGTGTTGTGGCAGATCCTTTGACTTAGTAATGACTTCGCTTCCCCCCCCCCCCGGGCTTGAAAGCCCTACATGTGCATATGATGTTGGGACTTCAAACATTTAACCTTCCAAAAGCAAAGCAGGGGGATGAGTGAATTGTAATCGTTCTCACTTTTTTGTTTCCTTCCTCATTTTATAAAGCTTGATCATTTGATTTATATTTTGCCAAAAAGTTGTTTAATCTTTTGTATTTTTGTGTATATTTTGTACAATATGCCAGGAGATGAACCTTTTTATTTAAGTCTTCCTGTTCCCATTTGATCGGGGATTTTTTTTGGTTTGTTTGAAAAGTTTGTGTAGGCTAGTACTCGACAGCACACAAACTCCAACAGCTTGGGTATGCTTTGGAAGTTTTAACAGTACACATGCAATTGCGTATTTTTTGTACATGTACATGCAGTAATACCATTTATATTGGTATTCCAACTTTAAAAGCCAGTGTTTTCCCTTGCATGTCTGTATCCTCATGCTTTAGAGGCCAAATGTATTCTGTTTCAGTTTTAGAGTCACTCACTGCTTTTTTTGGGGGGGGGTCTTGAACCTTTTTATAAGACAAGGTGTAATATTTGTAAACTTAGCTTTGTCCAAGAAAGGGAAACCTTGATAATGACACATGATGTGAGAACTACACTGTACCAACGAGAAAAGTGTTGTTCCACTGGACAGAAATACTTCGTTTTCTGCACTGCCATTCTTACATTCAGAGTTCGTTTAATCTTTCAGTGCAAATAAATGTTTCCATACTGATGCATGTACGTTGTTGGGAATGCAGTGTTCGCCCAGCTAAAACGGAGCCAGTATTCCACTTGAAGCAATGGTGCTCTTATTTCATGCTTCAAAACACGATGTTAGTCGATCCCTCGAGAGAGTTTGGGGGCAAACACTGCAGGAGTCAACAGGTATGATCAGTGTTTTCACAAGACATACCTTGATGAACAAAGCTTAGGGATTCTAAGGGCTTTATAAATATCAACAAACTACTCCAGAACTCTTGACCGGATGGTCACTCAACACTGCACTCAATCTTGACTCTTGGAGTGTTTTTGCCACGCCTTTTGTACTCCGTCAAGGTACATGTACCTACGGTACCTCCCTATAAACACTTTCTGCTGACGTTGCAAAGCTCTGATGATCCCCACAGGTCATAACATACTGTGTATTTACCTGTCTGCTCGAAAATGGGTACAAAATGTTTTTTCGTTGTGAGCTACGCTTACGAGTGTACCTCTTAACAATTTGAATCCATGCAAATTCACTCAGGTTGTACAGTATGTCAGCGTGTGGAGCCCGGCCATTGCCGCTTAACAATAAAAAACAATGGCACTAGGACGTTTGTCGTTAAAAAACAAAGCAGGTGAACTTGATAGCTCTGTCTTGGAGATGGTATAGACATTGGAAATGTCCATTGCTAACGGTGAATTTCTGCCTTTGACAAGCGACTGTAGTTCCCGTAATTTTTACCACACACGTTACTTGCACCAACGTCTACCTCTGGAGATAAACCCAAAGAGATGGAGAACAATTTCAGATTTAGAAGATAGAGATCCCGATAAAGTGTATGATATAAATTGGACGCATCCCTGATTAAAACCAACTGCACCAAATGGCACAATTTTGTGGGCACTAAACTCATAAGTTGTATGCATTTTGCAGTACTCTGGACTGTTTTCTTCATTTTTTTTACACTTTGTGCTGTAGGTTTTGCAATCGTTGGGTAATTGTTGTCTTTAAACAAGGAGCACACACCAGTCCCAAGTCTGCTGGGAAAAGTCCACCAGTGGAACGGCTTATCCCGAACGTTGTGATGAAATCCTGCCTAGATTTCATACGTAGCGTTGAAGTTTAGGCCAAACATGCTTTTCAATTTTGGGGTTTTGTTTTTGAAAGTTCCAAAATTACGATTAGATACATGTACAAGCAGATTATTATTTTTTTAAAGTTTTATTTCAGTTTTCCCCAGAAATGTATTCAGGTTTGGTGCAATCTGTGAGAGTTCCCGTATTCACGAATCACATGTAAATAATGGAGATTGGTATTTAAACTGTCGAACTGTAATAACGAGAAAGTCTACAAATAGCCAGGATTATTACTATTGGAGTAGCTTTTTGTACATGTGGAGTGTAGCAAGTGATCATACTTACGATTTAAAAACGACTTCTTGTATGATATTATGCAAACTTTTGTACATTTTGATGATTGAATTTGATTTAAAAGCCTTTGTGTTTTATATTAAATTCACAATAATTTATGCATTATTCAAATTTGTCTTCATGACAAGTGCAAAATACCGCAGGAGAATGTATAAGCCCATAGCAACAACATCGAACTCGACATTTCTGTTGTAAAATAAAATAATCTCGTAAGTTATGCCTTTTCGATCCTAAGACACTGAAAACGCAGACAATAAGTACAACGTGCCCTTTTTGTGTCATTAAAATCACGTTTTACTTTGTTATGCAAATATGGACTGTTTATTTTGTGTCATGTTTATTCAACTTGAAAGCATTCAGTTCTGATTTGAATTTACCCGTTAGATAGATAAGGTTATGCGAAATTCTTCGTCCTTAATATCCCACTGAATAGTTAATGTATAATTTAATAAAGGAGTGTACAATTTTGTACATTAGTTCATGTAAAGTGTATACAAAAATACGCGTATAAATAAAACTGTATCATGCTTTTTAAATTACTGAATTGTTGAGTCTCCAACGTTTAGTGTTTGCAGCATGTTGGTTGATGGTTTTGGTTTTAAATCCAGCCAAACCCTGGTCATAAGTAAATCACGTGCATTCAGTGTGCGAGTTAGTTTGTATTTAGGCTGGATGTGCCCTGAAAACTGAGGCTTGTTTTGGTGACCCCTAACCGGAAAGATTATTGTGACGTCAAAGCAATAACTGGGAACACGTTTGAGGGTGGCGTACAAAAACAAAGAACCAGAAACGGTTATTTCGTCTGACAGAGGCAAGCGTAAGGAAGCAGACGACAATGTTGAGTATCACTTTCGCTCGTGTTTCTCGTCAGTGCTGCTCTCTTTTCACGTGCATTCTAAAAGAAAGTACATGTACACGCATCTCTTTGATTCGCTGCATGTAACACATTTTGAAATGTATACATGTACGTGTAATTCACTCATTTGAGGGGCGACATAAATGGTCGGTTTATTTTCCGCCATTGTGAACCGGCGCCGGACCTGCTCCAACCTTCGGGTCTCGTTCAATCGAGAACCACTGACGTTACAGAGGCATAACCGAAGTCGCGAAAATGTTTCACCAATGACCAAACCTGCAACATCCTTATGCACTGCCATACACTAATGCGCTAATAAAAGCTTCTGTGCGCATTTCTGTGTTGAATGTCAGTTTACTAGATTGTCATTTTTCCATTTATGTTTCAGTTTGAGCTTTTAGTGGTGCCGTGGTCGCGCTCATAGAGTATCCAAGTTTATGACATTAAAGAACAAATTCCTATCTCGAGGTTTGTTTGATAAGAGCCACAAAGTGTAATTCGCTATGAAAAACAAGGTGACGTTAGCAAAATGTGACGTAACATTACAGCGTAATCAAGTCTTATAACATTCCGACCGATGGTAAAATACATGTACATGTTTATTGTACACACAGTCCGATAAGATAAAGGTCTGACTATGTACATCCAACAAAAGAAACACAGTGCACTAACAATGAGCGTCCATTGTTATTGCAATGAACTTTTTTGTAAGATGTTCATAGTGTCTCCAGGATTAGTCAACATTTTGAGCTGTCAGCTTCCTCAAATTCTTGGCAAAGTCTCTTGGGCTTTATCACCAACTGAGCCAATTTGGCAGATTTTTTTTCTGTGAAAATACCACAGACCAACATTGTGGGGAATGATTCTGTGATATACATGTACTCCATAAAGTCAGAAGGTAGGTGGGTAACAGATACCGTGCACGATG